CCCCAATGTTTCATTAAAATCTTTATTTGGCTGCCTGTGCAATTAATCCACTCTTCCTTATAGACTATCCCTTATTTTACATGGCAAAAGTCAACATTTTCATGAGAGTACCACAGGGATGGTCACTTGAAGGGCTGGTACGATCATTCTAAGTGGACTTCCGTGAGACCCCACACTGGGTGGGGGTTCAGAAAGCTCAGGCTGCCCCGGGGCTCCACTTAGCTTGCTTTAAGCACCCTGGGGAGTTGTCCAGCCTTGTTTCTGCCTTCAGACGTTTCTACAAAGAACAATCCTCAAGACTGTCTCCAGGAAGGGCAGCTGACCCTCTGAGCCCATGTAAAGCTCGATGGAGAAACTTAGGGGCCTGAAGGGAAGCAGCCCAAGAGGAATTCCCAGATGGGAGAGGGAAACGGCGAGCCCAGAGTCCTGTGGGCCCCTCCCACATCTTCAGGACACCAGTTCCAGTACTTACCAGATGGTAAACTTGTTAAAGTGTCAAACGACAGATTTAAAAAGAGTACATGGATATGTGAGAAAAGGAATAATAACCCAGGGGAGGAAAAATAACTCTTCCCCACCATCACACTGCATATTCAGTAGACATTTCTCCAGGGCTAAAAATGAAAAGTTGGGCACACCGGTATTTATCCTGTACTTGGTCATTAGGCCAACTGGAGCAAACAGCAGAGGGGCCACCTGGGTCTGCCCCCCAGGGCCGCACAGTCTTCAATTCCTCGTCAATGCTGCTGACAGAACATTGGAAAGTGGAAGCTGTTAGGAGGACGGAAGAGCTGTCCCTTTAAGATGAATGTGCTATAATCCAAATGTATTTAGCTGTATAGTTAAACAGCCACAACTTGGTTGTATAAAATATTCAAGTTTCACATGTTTTAATCATCACCCTTTGGCGACTGTCAGTGCTGAAAACAATGAACACATGACGGAGCAGGCTGGGAGCCGGGGAGGGGGCGTCAGCGTGATGCTCCGGTTGGAGCTCCTGGTTATGTGGGATGAGCCGGCGCTGACGCAAACAAACTCTGCTGAGGCCAAATAAGCAAATTCCGTGCTCTCTTCTCTGGAGTCTGACTTCTGTGTGCAAAGGCACTGAACACACTTGCTTGAATAGAACTCAATCTCCCCTGGGAAAACTGTTAATTCAGTGCTTCAGGAATCTAAGATTAGCAGATTTGTAACAAGAGAGAATAAAACCTAGGCTCCCCCACGTGTGATGACAAACTCCCCAACAGATCCTAAACACAAAAGGCTCTGCGGGCAGGAGCTCCTTGGTGTGCTGGCATCTCACCCAGAAGCCTTGGGCCAGGCTGGACCCTCTGGAGCTAAGGCTCCCAGGAGACCTGACCCTGGGGACGGGATGTTTCCCTTGGTCTCCAGGCACCAACCCCAGAGAGCAGGCGAGAGAACAGGGAGGAGCCACAGGACGCAGAGGAAAATAAATGATCTTGCATGGAGGTGATTCAATCAAGTCAATGCAGGACAAGCCATTTTACCTACACGGAATTCTTGCCCTAAATCCGTATCCACCACCATACTCCTTATTGCTTCAGAATGATCCGTTCCCGATTTATCCCCTACTGAATGCCGTACACCACGTGGGGTGCACGGTTGCCATGGCAATCAAGCCTGAGGAGGAGGGGCCTGGCCCTCCAGAGGCCAGAGGAGGAGCATGACACAGAGGGTCACAGATTGCGATTAGGGCTCCGAAGGACACAGTGATGGGAGAGAAAAACACGGGTGAGGAAAATAGCAAATTCACAGCATGGAGACAGGAGAGGGCTTTACTCATGTGAGGCAGAGAAAGGAGACCAGTGATTAGAAGGCAGTGATTAGAGAGAGAGGGATAGGAGTAGTCTATTATTATTAATAATACTGATTATTAGCAGGTATGTTATTTACTATGTGTCAAACACTGCTTAAGTAGTTCACCCATATGAACTTGTTTAAATCCTCACAGGATTCCTGTTTTGCTTCCATTTTGCAGATGAGGGCACTGAATATCAGAGGTGACCCAGCTGTCACACAGAAAGCGTGGATTCACATGCAGCCAGGCAGTCAGGCCGGAGGGATGCTGTCAGCCTCTGGCTAACGGCCTCTTGAAGAGGGTGAAGGGCAGGTTTGACTACAACCTCTTTTGAAACTTTTCTACTTCCCCAGACCCTCTCCTGAGCGTAAAATATATTAACAAGAATAGAAAGCTAATAATTAACTCCAAGTCTGTGACTAATTAAAGCCTGAGATCTTTCTAAATGGAAGGAAAAAAAAGTTGGAAAAGGTCCAAAAGAACTTTTTTTTTTAATGAGTGTCAGCACTGCAGTATGACAAAAGAGAGATTATAGGAAGGAAAAAACTTCCTCTAATTTTTCAGGCGCACTGCTTTGCAAGGAGCAGAACAACACAGAAACTGCCACTTCATTTTTACATGGTGATTTCCACGTAGCCTGTGCCTTCACTTGCATTTCATAGGAACCAAAGGTCATAGGGAACCTAAGCCCTGACTTCTAGAAGAGCAAAAAAAAAAAAAGCCAACTGAGTCACACTGATACCACTTGGATTTTCCAGCACAAGAAATGTGGGCAGACTGTCATTAATTCTTAGCAACTGCTGAGTCCCCCCTGGGATACCAACCACCCTGAATGAACCGACTGCCTAGGGCTGCAGGCTCTTCCCTGAACTGGAGGCGAATTCTTCATGCCAGTCAATACTTAAAGTTGTGCTACAATCATTACAATCATTCACATTTCTTGGGCTGGAGAAATAAAATAGCACTGATTAGAAAAGTAGCCAACTATAAAGCACCAAAATGTTAGAAGCCAAGTTCCAGTGTATGAACAAGGCACCTCTAGAAGGAACTCAGTGGGGAACAGGGGGCCCTGTGATCCAAAATGCTGAAATCCTTAGAAGTCTTTGCAAATGTACTTGGAAGGTAGCACAATTTTCCTGTCTCCTCGGTGCTTTTTTTCTCCCCAGGAAGATGGGTAGGTTGACACCGTGAGAGACAGTGAGGGGAACTTAGGAATCCCATTTTACACAGCGGTATCCTACCTGATAATTGCCAAATTCCAAATTCTCCCTTTTCAGGAGGACTGTGTATTCCTAAGTAGTAGTATTGAATTCATTTGCATAAACTGCAGCAGTAAGTTCTTTTAAACAAATTTAAACAGCTTTAAAATGCTAAATGATTCCTAGTCAGTTGTGGCTGGCAGTGTTGTTCTAACATAGATTGAGAACGTTTAAAGGGAAGAGTTTGTTCAAATATAGCAGGAGGCACTAACTACTCCTTGACAGAATGACTGGCATCCACCTCATTCCTGACTGTCCCAGGGTTTTCAGCCTTTCTCAGGCTAACGGGGAAAAGCCCTTCCTCCCTGTACGTTCCGTCTCTTGCTGTCCTCCCGGATAGGAGGTTCCCTTTGCGGCCTGTCTCCCAGGACTCCAGGCCAGTAGGCCCGTGTACAAAGGGGGAAGACTGCCCTTCCCCAGTTTCGTTCCTTAGTCCAAGGGCAGTTTCTGTGGCTGGCCACCACATTGCTCCCAGTGTATCTGTTTCATATATAGTGACATTGGGTCAGGGGTATAAAAAAACACTTGACAAAGTTTTCTCAGAAAACAACCTGGCTTTACAAAGTGTTCTATTTCTGTAACATTGTGTCAGGATGGCGGCTGAAGGGAACCTCTTCCAGGGCTGCCTGCAAGTGTGAGGAGTGGAAGTGTATCAACGCATTTTAGATACTAGTTTTATTTAATTCGATTAAATTTAACTCCTGGGAGAATAAACACTCTTGGCCTCCTGAGTGGGATACTATGCCCTCATCACTGAATTCACTGAACTAAAGTATAGCCTGTAACTCTGACCAATAACCTCGGGTGCGTCCCAGGAACCGCGGGGCTCCTGGTCTACACATTTCCCAAGAGAAGCTCCAGCTCCAGCCCCCACGCTCCAAACCCCGCCGCAGTTCCACCCGACACGCCTAGGTCCACAGCACCTGCGAGGAGCAAGACCTCTGCGGAGCCCGTGTCCTTCCCTGCACGACTCCCGTCGTCCAGGGATGGGGCTAAGGCCCCACCCCGTCGCCGCGTTCCTACCCACCCTCCGGTCTGCTTCTCCCTTCCCTCCTCTCCCACACCCACTTGTCCCCTACGCTACAATGTGGCTCGTAAACTCCTGGCTCCCACGGAAAGTAGTAACAGAGCCCCAGCTTAGGGGGATGACTCACCGAGGAGTCTCCAGCCCCTTCCCCGCCCTGCAGCGCCCCGTCGCTGTGCCCCTCGGGCTCACTGCGGGCACCCTAGGTAAGGAAATTCTCTGAAACCTGAAGCTGAACCAGGATTCGGCCTCCTCCCCTGCGGCGTCGCCCGCTCGCAGACAGCGGTAGGAAACGACGGTTTAAAGGTCTCCGATACAAACGGACCAACATTTCCGTGAGGCAGGAGGAAAACAAACACAATTCCCTGGGAGGCTGTGTGCGAAGGTTCCTGGCAACGCATCACATCCGAGCAGGCGCGGCGCCTGGAGGCCACCTTAAAAACCAGCGTTGCCATCAGGCCAGCCTCGCAAGCGCCGCTGCAGTGCCCGCCCCTCCCGCCCGCCCGCCATCTGCACCAGAGCTGCACTTGGCACGGTCGGGTGGGCTCCGGGGGGGCAGGAAGGGGGCCGGGTCTGCACAGCCTGGAGAGGAGGAGAGGGAAGGAAGGAACTGAACGAGGGGTGACCTTGAGAATCTCCCCTGAGTTACAGATACCGTGGCCGGGCCCGCTTGGATACCCCAGACCCACTCCATCCGGGGGGTGAAGGGAGGATGCAGGGCAGGTGGAGGGCAAAAGAGATGGAAAGGTAGAAAGAAAATAGACAAGAAAGGAGAGAGAAACCGAGTCTCTCCAGCTGGGAAGGCAGGAATATGGGCGGCGCCCAGCGCAGGGGCTCAGGTGCACCCGAGGGCCCGCGCTCTTCGCAGCCCGCAGGTGCGAACACTCACCCCGCTCACCTTCTCTCGGTCCCTGCACGGTGCAGCTGCGCAGCGCGGAGTGGCGGTCTCGCCCTTCGCCTCCGGCGGCGCGGGTGGAGCTCGAATCAGGCCCCGCCCCCGGGGCAGCGTGAGGCCACGCCCCTAGAGCGGGGACCCGGTTCCCCGGCCGGCCTTCAGAGTGCTGACCCCCATTCCCTGGTTCCTGCACTTTTCTCCACCTCATGCTTGTCCACGGATTTACCCCTCCCGCTCCCAAACCATTTATCTACTCCCTTCCGCAGATTCCTTGGTGGCCGCCTTCCTAAACTGTCCCAGCAAGTCATATTTCTCGGATTGGTTCTGCAGAACCTTAGCCCGTTAATAAGTTATTCCCAGCAGGGCCACCGTAGCTTGCTCTGGGCGCTCGCGGCAGCGGGGTACAGGCTTGGACTGCGCGTGCGCGGAAGCCGCCCCGTCCGCCCGCCCCTACGCCGCGGCGGAAGGGTAGGATGTGTGCTTTCTGCTGCAGTGCGCTGGAAGCTCGTAAGTGAGAGGGTTCAGGCATGTTAGAGCTTCCCTGCCCCTAATATTATCGTTAGTATGTCAATAATGTTGCATCCCTGTTAACTATTGTTAGCCTTGCCGAGGACCGGAAGTGAGTCCCGCCCGCGCCCAGGGGCTCAGCCCCGAGCAGGCTTTCCCCAGAAAGGGGCCGTAGACCTTTGATTGTGGACTTCAGACCCAGGTTCGCCCCACGCCTACTCTGGACGCCCCACATCCTCCAGGAATTGTCCACCTGGGCCTCCCCTAGGTTCTCTTATGTGGGGTCCTCCCGTTTGCGAGAGCGTTTAGGGACCGAGTGATTGTGGAAGGCTGGAGTCCAGACCTAAGGCGCCAGGCCGGGTGTTCCATTGTATTGCGTTGTCACATCCACGCGGCTAGAAGTATTCAAGGGCTCCTAAAGTCGTTACTACTGCTGTTTTTATTTACAGACCCATCTAGTATGTTCAATTCAAGACTGATCCATTTTCAAAGAGATTGCACCTCTTAAAATGTTCCAACTCCCCAGCTTGCAACCAACCATAACCACTCTTCAAACTTATTAGGTAAAAGAAGGGCTTACGTTTTAAAGTTCCAGGCACTGTGGGTGTGAAGGGCTTGTTTTGACTGAACATGGAAATGAAGAAAGTAGGAAAGCATTTCTGCATTATTGAGAGGTTTTTTCTCCTATGCTGCTATAGGCTGAATGTTGGTGTACCCCCATTCATGTGTTGAAACCTCATCTCCAGTGTGATGCTCTCTGGAGGTGAGGGCCTTTGGGAGGTGATTAGGTCATAAGCGTGGAGTCTTCCTGGACGGGATTAGTGCCCTCATAAAAGACACCCCAGAGAGCCCTTCTGCCGTTTGAGAGGACCTGGCAAAAAGACCACTGTACATGAACCAGGAAGCAGGCTGTCACCAGACATTCAATCTACCGGCATCTTGATCTTGGCCTTATCAGTCTCTAGAATTTTGAGAAATGAATGTTTACTACCTAAGCCACTGCAGCCTGTGATACATTTGTTACAGCAGCTAGAAGGGAGTAAGACACTTGCTGACTGTTGTAGATAAGAAAAGAGGCAGCTTGGGGTGGATCAGGGGCATAGTTCTGGTCTCTCCTTTCCCAGCTATCTCTGACCGCAGACAAGTACTTGGCCACTCAGGACCTCTCATTATAAAAGCGATGTTCGTTTGTTACAGATATTTTGGAAAATACAGGGGAAAAAA